TAGCTTTTTATCCAAGAAACTGCAATTCATGTGCCATTCGCTACCAGCCCTTAAATAAATCCAATCGATGCTAGCTTAATGCACCAGGTGTGCAAATTTTACTTGGTTAACACTGTAAATAAGCAATTTTAACTTGTTATTTACTGCCAACTTTTTTTTAATGGCAAGGTTTATTGTTAAAAATTACTTCAATGTTGCTGAGACATTTGCAAAACTCCGGACCGTAGGGAGCTAATGCGTTCACCACCACACCATGCGGTCCTTCGCTTCACCTATCTCTCAGCTCATTGCCGATTTGGTGGTGAACGCCTTAGCCCTGGAAAGGGTAATAGCGCGTTCGTACCCCACCACCTACGGTCCGGAGTTTTGCAAATGTCTCAGCATCATGAAAGTTATATTTCACTGTAAATGAAATTTTTTGATTTTGAGTTAAAAATTAGAAAAAATGTTGTTCCAGAAAACACTTCAGATGTACTGCGCTACTGTAAATGAATGGTCCCCCACTAACCATCAAAATACGTTGGCGCTTCCAATTTTTTCCACAATGTTCTTTACAAAAAAACTTTCGGTGATGTTACTGTTATAAGAAAACTAGTTGGATTAGTCTGGTTCCATTCACTCATTGCGTTGACGAAGAATAGACAATAACCGTTTAAGAGAGAGAGAGGGAGTTATTGATTTGATTGATCGAATCTGCTCACAAGTTGTCCTTTGGTGATTCCAGATATAGTGCTTCTTGCCTTCTTCAAGTAGCATGGGTAAATTGATAATTTGTTTTTTTTCGTCTTAAGAAATTGTACCGGCTCATTTGCAAAGTTCACTAGACTTCAGAAAGAAATAAGCCTCAAGCCGTTGTGGTAAACGAGCTAGGATAAATTGGCACTATGACGGCTGAGCTGCAGTTGCGTCTTAGAGTGATTAATCGAAGCAATTTGGTTCAAAATTTCCGTCACAATCCAGCTCCACGACCACAGAAAAATGGCTGTGGCTATTGCTCATAAGATTTGTGTAAAATTACTTATTCAAATTTGCCACTTCGGTCCGAACACTCTAGCCTTGATTCTTAGGATCCACACTGATTCAGCAATACTGGTATGGACAGAGATATAAAATGTGTTATGGTCGGAAAGAGTATGGCAAATGGAGATCCAGCAATACATGGTTGTGTTAGTGCAGGATACCTTGGTTCTAGAAAAGTGCTTAAAAAGCGAGACTGTTTAGCTTTGCCTGATTCTTGCACCATAAATATCCGATAGCAGCATCCAAGCTACATGTGATACTGTATCAGTTCCGTGTGCTTACTCACTACCAAAAGCGAAAAAATAAAGTGCTTTTAAAAGAAATCCATTTAACACGAGAAAGTTATTTCAGAAACGTATAACTTGGAAAGTTGGTGTTCATGGCTAGAAATTCATTTCAAGATGAATCGCAATGTGACATTTATGCCGGCTTCATATGAATTTTGGCTTCGTGTAAGCGCAATCAGCTGGAGCACAACGCTGCCGCCGACAAAAACAACGAAAGTTATGGGGCAAAACAACCAGACGAAAAAGCCTAGATTGTCCAAGTACTAGATTTAGTGCTGAGTTCGGAAAAATCTGAACAGGCAGTGTTATTCATAAACGGATTATAAGTCTTACTTACTTGATACTCGAACAGCCCGCCCTAACTGGTTGTGCGGGTCCTAGCATAATCACCATTTTTCGAAAATTTGCTGGTTCAGCCATTGTGATTCTCTGGAATGCCGAGGTCACCCTGGGTCAAAATCTGCCCCAGGTCTTTATAACCATAAGCAGTCGGAGTCTTTGTGGATCAGAGGGAGATTTGCCACCATGCGACTTTGATATCAGGACGGTAGTAGATCCTGGCATTGGTTTACTCTTAGCTAGGCTTCCTGGTGGAAACCGCGAACTCCTTCCCAGCTTAGGAGAGCATGCCGGGAGACGAATCCCACCGCTGTACATCGGACCAAAACACTCGGTAACACTTCCTAACCACGATGAGGCGGTAAACCGTTGGGATGGGTTATAAGTCATTTATTTAAAATTCCAAGCAGACTCTAATGGATCCACCAAGCGTATTCCTGAATATGATAGGTAAAATGTACTCGTGAAAAACGGCTTATAATAAAGAGAGTGAACTTATCAGTATGGTGAACGTTTACCATAGAAAAGGCACTCACTCGCTTTTTTCTCTCATTTGTGCTTCCATCTACTTTTAAGTACAATATTTTCCTAGCTAAGAAATTCATAGAAGAATTTCTGAGACGAGGTTCGCCGTAAATGGGTTATAAGTCATTTATTCAAAAAAGTGATATAAGCGAACAACATGATGCATCGGAGGAAGAAATCACACTAAAAGAAAACGCCTGTGACTAGAGTTTAGCACAAGTACAAAGTTATCAATGCAAAGATTGTTAAAAGGTAGGAAGCCACTGATGAGTCATTGCACTTCGGGACCGGTGTTCCGCATAACTAAAAAATACCGTGTTTCGACTGATACAGCAGTAACCGTTAGAATCAATAAATGACAGTCAACAAATAAGGGAAAAGTGTGTGAAAATCGTCTTGCAATTGTTCATAGCTTTTTTATAACGATATCTTTTAGCATATCGCATTAATAGCCACGCTCATCAACTGAACACCCGTGTTGACGGAGTTACGAAGTAGAATTTGAATTAATCTTTTGTCATCAGTTGAACTTATTGGGCCTGGATGAATAGAAGAGAGAAATTGGAAGAAAGATGAGCAGATAGGGATGAAAATGAGAAGAATGATTTCTGAAGAAACAGAATAGTTATTCCCATGACCGACTTTCTGTTAACCTCGGCATTAATTGATAATTCAATGTTTTTCATCAATAAGCAGACACGAGGTTGTTAATATAGAATTTATTAGAACACAATTGCTGACGTTTCGGCGGTTTCGCCTTCTTCAGAGCCTGGAAAGGTCAAATTGATCAAATTGGTCAAATTGAGTAGATCGCATCTCAATTTGACCTTTCCAGGCTCTGAAGAAGGCGAAACCGCCGAAACGTCAGCAATTGTGTTCTAATAAATTCTATATTAACAACCTCGTGTCTGCTTATTGATGAAAAACATAGAATAGTTATTATTATCATTATTGTTATTATTGCTGCTATTATCATTATTACTGTTATTATATTATTATGTCAAAAGCGCGTGCGGCACAGTGGTCGAAGATGCTTTGCAACACACACGTGTAACCGATTCTCGCCCCATGCCCCACCAAGCCTTCCATCCCTCCGAGGTCTGCAGATTTGTACCAGACCTGTCTAGTAAGATAACAGCACTGGCTCGATACATCGGTGGGCCACCGCGAGTCATTTTGAAGGCCAGATATGCGTTCAATCACCTCCAAACGATGATTAATAAAGCCGAATGCATGGCGCATCCCTCAGGAATTGATCAACGCTGAGCGCTTTATCTTTAGCTGCATGAGGTGTATTGGCACACAATTTTGTGTTCTTGTAGGAAAAATTTCGACAGAAGCGTAGATTTCACTTGTTAAGTCTATTGAACAGTAAAATCCCTAACAAAAGTTAACTGCAAATCGCTTGTCTATTATTCCCCTATATCTTCGCCATTTTCTAAACTACTATTCAAACCCACTCAAGTATGTTACCTCGGTTTACTATGATCTATTTTGATCACGTACTATTCAAGCTAGAAGAAAATGTACTAACCTCGAGAAATATTAAAACTGAAAAGTATAGTGGATTTCTATTATTTTCATTTTTCGCACTATAAATGTTTCAAACGTAAAGTAACGTACCGCTTGCTGCTCATTATAATTGATCACCAACGTGTCACTGTGCAACGTTGCCATTTTCTTAACAGAACACGGTAGTTCGCAGCCTGCGATGGTGAGCGGATACGGTGGTTTTAAGGTGTCATTGCGGAATAAAAACTGAAACACGACATTTTTGTGGTAGTCTACAATTTAGAAATAAGCCATTTTTTCCAACCATTCTTGGCAATATAATACCTATGCTGGCTTGCAGGCTTTCACCTTGGCATATGGGGTGACAGCGTTTTCAAACGAATTTGCTAAAATGCTTCTCATTCTAAGTGATCTTGTTTGATAATGAAATTCCAACTGTACAGTGTACTTTGGCACTAAGGAATGTTCGCATTCAAGATGAGAGGATAAGCCATTAGGAAGAAGAATCAATCAAATAACCGATCAACGAGACTTACCGTACTTTAGCTATAATGCAGCTAAAAGAAAAGGAAGATTTATAAAAAAGGAAACTGTTAAAATTCAGCAGCTTTAAGAGAATTCGAGTGAACCTGCTATTTTTGGTATTGGTGTTCTTCGCATTTCGAATTGCTCACCTCAATTTCATAATTGCTTGCATTCTCGTAGATTTCCATGATGAACGAAGAGGCATATGGTACTGGCTGATCATTTGCGACCCCGAGGGCGTACATCAAACTGAGAAGGGTGCCGTCATGCTGTTAATATCGTATTATTTATTTCACCAGAAATGACCGGCAGTGCTAGCTTTGCGCTGTTACTTTGCACCGCGAACTTTCGCTATGGTAGTTTTTCAAAAGTATGTGTTTTTAACAACAGTGGGAAAACAAATGCGTTTCATAAGGCTCACCGACGAATAAAGAAGCATTTTTTTTGGATTCTTCATTGTACCGTTAGCAACTCGTTCGGCATTCAATAACCAGTTATATAGCACATGACCGCCCATCACCTAAATATTCGATGGAAACTTCAAAGGACACTATCTATCATTTCGAATATTACAAACTAGTGCTAGCCATAATATCGGTTTCCATTAATATTCAAGCAATATCGTTGTATAAGGCGTTTATTTTGATTACTTCCGTGATCTTCTAGCATAGCTCAATTAAACGATCTGCGGCTACTACATTCAAATCTTCTTTTCTATCGGATCTCTCTTGTTCTTAAACTGTATTGTGCAATAACGAAGAAGCTACGTGATGTTCAACACTAGCAGGTATCCTAAAAATCACTGATAATCAATACTTTGGCTTTCGTAGGCGAGTTGAATTTGGTGCTCCTTTGTATCTGACGCAATTCGCTGATGATGTCCAGTGTGTTGCGGTCGTTGTACTGTGGCCAATGCTTGAAGACCCATTGTGGTTGTTTTGCCACCATATTATGAACGAGCTGCAATAAAGTTAGAAATATTGTCTTTTATCTCTCTTCGGAACGTTTTTAACTTGAAGCCTCGAAACGAGGATCGGGTCCAATCAAACTCGAATTCCGCCTTGAAATTCGCATTGAAGCAAACTTCGAGTATTTTTGAAAATAGGAGCAAAAATTTGGAACCATGTGAATAGTTCTGAATAATTTACGAGATCCTCAAAGTTCCACTTAGCATACTGTCATTGTGAATACAGAAACTCATCTTTAATTCCAATGAACTTTACCAAAACGATTTTCCATAGCCAACGTTACATGATTTGGTCATGGTTTTCAAAGAGACTTGAATAATCGCTTTTATTTCAGGCAACAATTGAGCAATTATACCAGAGCGCGCTACTATAATAATCTTTTCAAACTGCCTCTTCACCAGCGTTACTCTTCAAAAGTGTATTGGGTTTAATGTGCGAACGTTGCGCAGATGAATTCCAATCGTCAGCCACATTGGTCTTTGACTCACCTCTCTTCTCACGTCGTATATTTGACTAACGTAGCGATAGGAAAAGTTAGCGATTCCAGTTTGTTCAGCGAGTAACTTGAACATTTCTCCGTATTGGCCCTCATAATACTTGGCTTGTTTTTCGTAATCTTCATCCACCAATTTGTCAATGTTTTTGCATGAAATAGACGTTGGCTTCAGTAGCTGTAAGAAAGAGCTTGTAAAAAGTGTTTTCATTGAAAAAATAAAAGGTGAGTGAAAATTTGACATTTTAGTTCGTATTTGATACTTCGTGTGTAAGACAATTGTAACAGTGTAACCCTGTCAATATGGCGCATCGTTCGTTATCATAGTTCGGATCGTTCATCTTGGGACTGTTGACTACATGTAAACAGCTGTCTATGAATTTAACTACGGAACAAACAAAACAAATTAAAATTAAAAATAACTTGCTGCAGAACGTTCAGTGAAATGCGATCTGAAATCGAGTTTATCTGGACAGCGAAAGCTTAACTTTTATTTGCTGCTTACTCTTTTTTTTCACGGTACGGTGCAATGTGAAATACAACCCTAAGGCTGTAGTTGAAATCACCATAACTTTTTATTTGCGGTCAATGACAATTTTTTACGGTCGGGTATGTGATACAACCACAATGATGTTGAGATATCTACAAAACTTCGGACCGCAGGTGTCTGCGGTGGGTAACGAACCCGCTGTTAGCTTTCCCAGCAGCTAACGCGCTCACCATCACACCATTCTGTCCTTCGTCTGTCCTGTCTCTCAGCTAGTTCTATCGAATTCATGGCATGGATAATAGATAATAGGATAATAGAAAACTAGCCGAAAGACAGGCGAAACGAAGGAGCCGTATGGTGTTGTGGTGAATGCGCTAGCCCCGGAAAGGGTAATAGCGCGTTCGTTTCCCACAGCATAGACCCGCGGTCCGGCGTTTTGCAAATATCGCACTATTGTGGTTGTTTCACACGTAATACTCTGCTATGAAAAATTATAATAGGCAGCAAATAAAAAGTTAACATTGTGATTCCGACTGTGGCTTCAGCTTAACTGAGTTTAATGCAGATTTCTGCTCTCTAGATCATTTTCGTTGACGAGTGATTGCTGATAGTAGTAACAGAATAATACTTCATGAGTTGCATCCTTCTCCTTTAGTATAGTAAAATTTGCTATAATTTCTGTACTTGCTAAAATGTTTCCCAAAATTGAAACTGAACTTCAACCGTATGTCTTGCTTAACACACGAGTTAGAATGGTTTTCTTTCAAGCGGTCCTTCAATTTAACAGAGAGCTCGAACTTAATCTGAAAGAAGCGACACTGGTGAGAGGTAATCTCTTCTTGCGTAAGCAGTACGGTACCCAGAAAATCTTTCTTGTTACTTTGATAGGCCAGAATTTAAATATGAGTGCCCGATGCCATAGAGTTTTCGATTGATTTTTACCATGATATGAAGGTTAGAAATCCTCCAATATTGGAAACTTGTCTGTATAAAATAAATTTAGAATGATACAAAAATAGGTATTATGATTGGATAGTGCTTAGAATCTGTTTCTTAAAAAAAACTTTGTCGATCAATCTGTGCGCATTATTTAATTATCACATTGTAACATGTTCTCTTCTGTCAACAATTTACTGGTTCATCGTGACTGAAAGCGTTGCTCGGGGTCAAGTTGAAATTGTAACTTCAAGCGGTTACCCCGCTATAGAGCCAGAAATGATACGCCCGATAGCATTTTCCGCAAAAAAAGATTTCAGTTTTTAGAATGAGAGGTGTGGTATCGATATCGCATACCAATCCAATTGACGAACAGCTCTGATGCGCAGCCAGGTCGATTGCTGGTTTCACTGACGTTTGCTTTAGTTACTCGTGCAACAATACTTACTAGATGAACAGATACGGAAATAGGCGTTACATGATTACAGATAATTCTATTGTGGGCTAGTAATAGCAGGAATAGTGAGCAAATTCCACGATGCATGATCGAATAAAGAGATATATGTGCAAATGAAGGATTTCTCGTGGCAATTTGATACATGAATTCTTCGATTGATTAACACACTTATTGTTACTACTTACCAGATCTGGTTCTCCAGGTGATGTTGCATGAACCGGTATAGGTTGCCAATGATTTCCTCTCTGCCACTGAAAGCTGCCGCTCGCTGGATAGAATCCAGCTAGGAATGCCTGTGCTGAGGTAAGCGCGCGATCCGAATCTGATGAACGAATGTACACCTATAAATCAACTACATCCGTATCAAAGTGTAAGACAAGTTCTATGCCTCGTTCATATACAAAAGTTTTCGTCTGGGTAGAGTGTATTGAAAGAGTAAACTCTATTTATATGAACAATTCTTTCTACTTCTCTTTAGCAAACACGAGGTGCTATTTTATTTCTTTATTTATGTACAAGCCGAAGTTTCGGCGGATTTCGCCTTCCTTAGAGCCTGGAAAGGTCAAGTTGACAGCAACCTATTCGGCCAAACACCTCCATAACCAACCACACTTATCTTAAAATGTTTATAGCATAAATTTCTATTTATATGGTTCATTTTCAGCACCTAAAAGTAGGTAGCTCACAAGAAACTTGAAAATTCACTTGAATCAAATTTTCTGATTTTATTGAGTAAAGGACCTGAAGGAAAAGCAGCTCAGCAGAAACGGATGTGTAGAACGTAACAATTCAAACTAGATCATCGTTACAAGAAAGAAAATAATTAGTAATGATCTTGGAATTCAGTTCGTTTAAAATTAAAGCTTTCGAGCGCCTAACTTTTGATATCATTTCATCAAAAGAGTCTAAGCTCATTTCATTTAAAATTTTTTTTTAAAAATTTTCTTCCAAGCTTTTCACCAGAAACAGCCAAACGACGTATTTATTACAATCGTCACTTGGTTTTAATCTATTGATTTGTTTATAGTAAATGGTTTCTTAAAACAATACCTCGCTTGGAACGAAGTGAGACGAGATGAAGAAACCATATCTCATTCGAAAATAGATGCCAAGCTCGTTCATTTGTTTCATACCTATCTAAAATTCGTCGAATTTATAAACGTTTCAACAGCCGTGCTGAATTCCAGCCGATAACAGTTGAGCAGTTGTGAATATAGTGTGGTTAACTAAACCTTTCATGTGTATTTTTAAGTACTTCAAACCGTGACTAAGTAATAATAAGGCGTAATAATGCTCGCTATCTAAAAAACTAGATGGCTCTATCCGTCCAGCAAAAGCATGTAGGAACCCTAGCCCTAAAAAGATCATGTTTTCATGAAAAATCATACTACTTACACAATTATGCAAGCTACCAGTACATTATCTAAGGTCTTGAGACTATTTTGAAAAATCCAGGACTTAGACGCACGTTTGAGAGTGAAATAATGAGAGAAAGGTATCTCACATTCGTAAGTTGCGCCCATCCTCGTTGCCAAGCGGTTTCATTATAAGGATCATTTGGATACGGTAACGAAAGCGGTGCACGATCACCATGTCTCCATATCGCCTGTACGAACACCAGATTACGGTCTGCTAAGCTATGTGGCAGTTGTCCGATTAAGGATACTACTTGTATCAGCACTGAAGTAAGTAGGCCGGCTATCATGCTGTAACAGAAAGTAATATTTTAAACGAAATGACGGAGAAGTAAGCTTGAGAAAAAAAATCCACGAGCAGATAAGGTTGGAGAATCGTAATGCAGTGTGATGTGTAAAAGTAATGCGGTGAAAGGATGGAACAGAGATAAATACGGATTATCAAAAATTTGCTTTGATGATGCTACACTCCCACAAATTCGAAGGGTGATGTGAAGGAATATTTTTTTTTATAAAAAAACTTTTTTATACGCTTCGTTTTTCACATCTACTGTACAGAACTCAGCGCTTCTCGCCTTTGATTCGTTTCCTCGGCTCCATCATCCACGAAGGTTTTCCAACTTTTTATGGGTGGCATCGGTTGAGGCTTGAGGATTTTCCTTTTATCACATGTGTCGTTAAATGTTGATCGACTTAATTCTCACTGGAGTCCTGAGATGACCGCGCTGGAGCGTTCCCACTTGAATTGCAGACGGTGAGCCATCTCCGGACAAGTCCATTACCGATTTCCTGACCTCGGAGAAATGGCAAGCTTGGTAAGCACGGAACGAGATTGAACCAGCACCATGCTAATGATGCTCGACATCACTACCACTGCACATCTCGCCACCTCTGAAGAAATATTAGAATAAAAATATGGAATACAAATGACGAAAACACACGGAGACTGAAACTACTGGCAGAAATCCTTCCAACAATGCAGCAAGGAATGAACGTTAGCAATTTAAACATGCAAGATAATATGAATATGTTCACAGAGAGTACTCAGTAAGTTCTAAAGGATTTTGGTTCTAGTGTTATAAAAGTGTTATACTCCACTGCAATGTTGTACCATTATTAATTTGGTTCAAAAGCGAACTCCATTTGAAGCAAACTACTCATACTCAAGAACAAGCACGAATGAAAAGAGATGCCAATGGCTCAGAATGAAACCTTTGAGTAGAAATCCAAAAATTTCCACAAACCGTTAGGTCAACATACAAGACTCGAAAGGAAGTTAGTAACATGACCTCATTGAACAAGCAATTCCAGCAAACTATAAAAGGCAAAGCAAAGAAACTATAAAAATATCGATCGAATGAATAGTGCTTGGTTTCCTCACTTTCTTAAGCATCAGACTTATTATGGAGCGCGTGTAGCGCCGTGGTCAAAGGCGCCATGCAATACGCATGGAACCGATCCCTGTGTCTCGCGCTCCTCAGGTGGGCCTTACTTTCCAGCGGGGTTGGCAAATTGAAAGCAGACTTCTCTGAGAGGATAGTATCACTGGTTCGATACATGGGCAGGGTACGGCGAGTTGCTGTACAGGCGAGATATGCATTCAATCGCTTCTAACGATGCTTAATGAAATTTAATGCGTGGAGTTTCTCTCAAGGATTGATGAACGCCGATAGCTCTTTTGCTTTTTATCAGACTTAGTAGTTGAAATTCAGTAATAAATTTCTACCTTCAGATTTGTAATTTGATAAATATGGAATAAAAGTGAAAGAATGTATTGGATCAGTCTCCATATTCTTAGACCTTGATCTATGAAAGAGACCTTGGCAAAGAAAGTCTTAAGTGGTTTGTGGAAGACACGGTTACATATTAAAAATCCAACGGTGCCACTCTATGGTATCAAAGACTCACTAATGCCTCTCGCGATGGCTATGGCAGATGTGTTCTTAGGGTTACAACAGGAGTATATCAACCAGCAAGGGACCTCCAGCCACGATATTCGAAAATTCCATCCGAATACTCAGTTAAGAGTAAACTAGCGCCCTATCCTGGCCACAACATTTTTGCTAGCTGACAAGTGGGTAACAAGTTCAGAAAGCACTGCTATGGCTCTAGGAAAAAAACCCTTGTCCAGTTGGAAAATTATCATTAAATAAGAACTAATCTGGAATCCGCACGATTCTTAGTGGTTTCTGAAAACGAGTAATGCAAGTTCGACTGTTTAAGAAACGACAAAGAAAAGGTGGTTTTAAGATAGCCTTATTTATTTGATGATACTTTTCTGAAACCGTGTTTACCCTTCCAGTGATGTTTTGAATCATGAATTTCAAGTCGGTTTGTCGAAGTCGCATGGATATCTCCAACAGAGATTTGGGTAAACAAATGGATTCAAGAGATGAGTTTCTTGTTCCCGTAGCCAGATGTGGCTTCTTGCACAGATTAAAATATTCGTGTATAAGCTTGTAGATATATATATATATCTTTACACGAACATACATTGTAGACAAATATGCAGATATGCAGATTACATGCTGCTAGTTGACTCAGGGAGAAATCTGAAATCGAGCGGGTTTGTTAAGCGCCAGCCCTAAAAAGCAGGACCTACTTCATGCACAAGATAGCATGACAAGCATGGCTGCTACTCATAACTAAAATTAGATTCATGGCAAACCTTGACGATCCACCTAATTTTCCCTGGTAAAACAGTAGTAAAAAATAAACGTAATAGTGATGTCATGCCCTCAGTGATTGTCGAACGGCAGATAGAAGTTTGTCACAGTTCGAGTCATTGAAGTTTGGTGAGTATAGAGTTGAAATCTACGGTCACAATATTGTAATGAAAAATCTCATCTTTTATGGAAACAAAAAACAGTCGGTTTTAGAAAGGAATTTCGAAGCAATGTTGTTTCCATGAGGAATAGAACCAGAAAACCAAGTTAAGGAAAAGAAAGAAAAAAATGAGGGAGAAACCTGAATGGACAGCTTTCTATTGTTAGAAAAGTGTGGAAGAAAGCCAAATGGACAGCGTTCTACTTTTTAGCCAGATTAAGTCGAACAAGAAGTACCAAGAACGTTGCAAGAGACCAAGGAAACGTAACCAACGGGACGCGGTAATATGCGGACAGAACAAGGGATTTTCGATGTAGATCTTCTATAATCTAGTAAGAGAGTATGAAATATGTTCCAGGAAACGTCCTAAGGACTGAATAATGTGTACTAACCGAGCGTTGTTGTTCTGATTTGAAAATCTATCAGATTATTTCATCAAATACCACCACAGTATTTGCTACGATGATTCATAATAACGGTCATGACGTTGATATCTCAGGCATTTGAAAGTCGCAGACATCTGTTATTCGCTTTTTGGTAGTAACTAGTATTATCGGCTATTCTGCCGTTACAGTTTATGATGCAAGTGGAAAGAATCCGTAAGCAGGTTAGGCTCTATGTGCAAAAGATCTTGCTTATATTCATAATCAGTTTCTCGGCTTTCCCAAAAATAAAGATGTGAAACTTCCTTGTTGAAAGGAATTCATAACCTTCTTAAATATATTTCCCAGCCAAACGACTGCAGGTTATTAATTGAAACAATGTGAAGCATTAAAGTAAACATATTCGCAGATACATCCAACAATGAGACTCATAAACCCTAGTGGTTAGATGTGCCCTCCAATGCAAATACGGCTGTTAGACAGACTAGGAGTTCTGAATAAACAAGGTTTCCTTTGCTCCGGTGTACGAAAAATTCGTACATGTCTGAGAAGCATTGGCTTAATACATCGGCAAATGACCTATTGTCATTGTTTAAGCTAGATATGCATTCACCCATCTCTAGGAATCTTAGTGAAGTTAAATGCATCTCCAATGAGATCAATCAACTACGAAAAATCTATTTGTTAATTCTTTCTACTTCTGTTCAGCAAACGCGAGGTGTTACTTTATTTCTTTATTTACGTACAAGCTGACGTTTCGGCGGGTTTCGCCTTCCTCAGAGCCTGGAAAGGTCAAGTTGACTTGAAGTAGAAAGAATTATTCAATCAATGCCGAGGTTAATAGAAAGTCGGACTTGGGAGTTACTATTTGTTAATGTTTGTCTGTATTCAAAAATTAATCTCTTGAATTCACACGTGTAAGAATTCATATCGTCTCTGTCCCTAAGTGTTATTGCATGGTTATTATAGGATCGCGTATAGTCCCATTTATAAAGAAATAGGAACTGAGTGGAAAGTCACTAAAGCTGAAATTCTTTGTATCGATAGTAGTGATTTAGTCTAAAGGAAGTAATAATACGCCGCATCACTAAGATCTTTATGAGTCACAGATTTCGAAATTCGATGCTGATAATGTTTCATAGAAGAAAGCTAAAGTAGCAAGATGATAGACCACATGAAGAAACAACTTTTACATAAAAACAGCACAAGATCCTTCAATTTGAATGGAGCAGCTCAAACAAAGTCATGTGTACCGTGAATGCTTAGGATACACGATGAGCGAGAAAAAAAAACGTTGTTACGGCAGTGAGACAAATTGAACGGATTCCGAGACTCTGTCTTCACGTTTTTTTTCTTGCAGACTTTTCATTTCAGACAGAAAACGAAGGAATGGTCGGCTTTTCAACCGTTTACCCCAGTAGATTAACACATTTTCTTCAAAAGTTTACAAAAACCCAATAAACTATTTCTTAACACTAGAAATCCACTCTTTCAAATCATATCCAGTATGTCACCATTATGTAAAAAAGGTAACGGTAGCCTTAAGATTTCCAGCCAGGTACACAAATGCACCTGCCATCAGCAATCATCCGTCAAGTCGAATAACCTGGTGAGCGCTAATAGGCATTGGACCGAGTTAAGCTGAAGATGCAGTCAAATTCCAAATATCTTAACTCTAATTTATTGTGTTCGTATTTTTTTGAGCAAACGCGAGGTGTTATTGTTCTTTGTTCACGATTAAGCTGACTTTTCGGCGAATTTCGCCTTCTTCAGAGCCGCTTTCTATGAGGTCTCCACTAAGTATGTAACTAACTTATTGTCTATTCTTTTTCACAGCAGTTCATGGTAGTTCATTTCCGATAGCTCATTATTGTGGAAGAGAAGTAGCTGTAGTGTTGAGACCACCGGAATCGCTAATATTGCTAAATCGTCTTTTAGAATCATTTCGGGCAATTCACTACTGTAGTGGAGAAGATATAGAGGCTTAGAGATAGTCAAAAGCACAAGTACTACTAGGTTATTCTTAAGAACGATTTACGATAACTGACTACCGTGGAGTAAAGGTTACAGCGATGTAGAGA